ACACACACACACACACACACACACACACACACACACACACACACAGAGTTGATAAAAAGCTGGAGCGATGTATAGCATTGATCCATCCAGTGATTAATTATAAGATTAGATATTAGATGTAATTGGATCATTTGAAGTGAGTTTTATCACAACAGACCTTAAGTTGCACCTTCTCTGTGCTGAGGCTGAGAGTGAACACAGTGGGTTCCTTCTTCTGATATGGAGAGTCTGACTCCATCGACTTCAGCTGGTCCAGGTCCAACTTCTCTGTATACTGAGAAAAAAATCAGGTCAGTGCTCCCAGCACTTCCTTATTGCCCCTCAAAGCTACTTCCTAATTCTTGGAATTAAACACTCCACATATTTTCAAAAGATAATTCAGGTCAGTCAGGCGCACAATGTGAACAAACATAGGTGTTTGCTTACCGTATCCTGTGTGTCATCCTTGTACAGAAACAGCGAACACCCACGGAGCTCTCCATAGTATTTCTTGAAATCCTGAAAGTCATTTGATGAACATATCAGGCATCACACTTAAACTACTTACACTTGACCTGTTTCAATTTTTCAGCTACGCAGCCATGTGGAAAACTATGCACACTTCCTGATTCGGTATCTAGTTGCTATCTGGACTTTGACTGAGCTACTGCAGCACCTTGATTCTTTTCTCTTCTCAGCCATTCTTTAGTAGATTTGGTGCTCTCCATTGTATAGTTGCATGACCCACTTTTGCCACGTTTTAGCTGTCAGACAGATGGCCTCACATTTGTTTATTCAGTATACAGAGAGATTCACAGTCAACTCAACTGTACAACCATGTTTGCAATCGGTATGAGGTGTTTGTGCTGATATGTTGTGTTTGTTTTTTCCAAACGTGTTGCTGTACATTATCTCCAAACATTTCTACTTTGGTCTCATCTGTCCAAATGACAATGTTTCAGAAGTCTTGTGTTTTGTTCAGATGCAACCTTGCAGATCAATGCTGTGCTGCCATGTTTGCTTTAGTGAGAACAGAGGCTTTCTGCTGGCAACCCTTCCAAAAATGCACTACTTGTTCAGTCTTTTTCTAACTGTTCTGGTGTAAACATTAACATTTAACACGCTAACTGAGGCCTGTAGAGTCTGAAATGTAGCTCTTGGTTGTTGTTGAAGTTTTTCTGATCTTGATGAGACATCGACCCTGGGTAGATTGTCTTAAAACACACCAGAATGGTCCAGACTAGCAAACTGCTAAAACTCTTGCTGATGATCAGTTGATCAAGTACATTTGATTAACAGCCCATGGCTGCCTCTTACCCTCTTAACTCCTGTGGAAACAATAAGGATGTAGCTTTTTCAAAAATGCTCTTTGTCACATGATTGTATTTACACTTATCTAAAGGCTGTAAGATAATTTACAGATGAGGTATTTTCATACAGACCTCTATGTCTTGTATATTTATTGTTGGATAAAATATGATGCACTGTCAGAGCCGAGCTACTCACCCACCGGTGATAAAAGGTGGTTAAATTTAGTTCCCTCTCCACAATAAGGCAGTAACAGTTTACGTCAGATTGAAACAACTACAGTCAGCCCAGATTACATTTGAATAATAATGTCAAAAATTGCTTCTCTACATTTTTCATGCCATTAAAATGTTTTACAGTTATAAAACCTTTTCAATAACCAATAAAACAAACTCATAAAAATGTGTCCTACATAGTTTATGTGTACCACAGCACTGTGTGTCTGCTGAAAGTCATGACTGCATGAAGAGTACAGAAATAAAACATTTTTATGTTTTTTGATGTTTAGTAACACAAAATTGGCTTTGTCTCCACTTTTTAAAGTAGTCCAAGAGTAATCAAATCAAATTTATGTAATCTAGCGGATTAATAATCAAATATGTAGCTTGTACTCAGCAACCAACATTACAGTGCAGTGCAGTAAGACCCAGCTCTCTGAACTACAGCATTAAAATACTGTCAGTCAGTATAAGTGATTTAGTAACAGGCAGACAAAGCTAATTCTCCATTATGAGTCCTTATTTTTGATAGACTTTTGCAGCTTTTGTTTGGTTTTACTCTTAATTATTTACATTTCCTCGTGTTTATTCCCCACATTCGTTCTTACCTTGTCTTTACTGTGTTTCTTCAGCAGGTGTCCGGAGTAGTAGAGAGGCAGGGCTGTGATCGTCTCCCTCCTCTTGTGGACAACTCTGGGGGGCATTGACATTGTCCAGTAGTCTCTCAAGTCAACGTCTTCTTCTGCCCTGGTTTGGCTCAGCTTTGGCTCAGCTTATGTCTTACAGTGCAGTCACTAGTCAAGGGCGAACTACTGAGTCCTGGAAAAGCTTTGTTCTGATTTTGTTTCCTTATGAGGCTCTGATAACGGGTATGAATTGAGACTAGGCGTCCAGAATAAGAGAGTTTTGATCACGAGGCCATAAATGTACAAAGATAAGCCTTTCTTTCCCCCACCTTCAGCCTCAGCACTGTCCTCTCCCTCAGAATGAGGAAATGTTAGTAAATATATAAAGAAGGAAGTAGCTGGTGCTATAAGAACTCTCATACTAACTTGTGCTTTTGTACTTTGGACCTGAGCATATCCCTAAAAAGCTTTACACCACAATAAATTATGCGCGCGCACACACACACACACACACACACACGTTCACATCAGATCAAAGATTATTTCAGTTAACTACACTTATTTCTTGGAGATTTATCTTAACTTTAAACATAATAAATTCTTACCTAGAATTTAATTCAGGTGTAAAGGGGACTGCAAACAGATTCTGGGGAATTCACACATACACACACGCACAAGCTCTTAATATTGCAAGTCAGCGTAATATTTAGATTGAACACACGATTAAAGAAGATAAGCAACACTTGTTTAAAAACATTCAGCAGGATTTGTCGTGTGAGAGCTGGCACGGCGCCACGTACTAAGACAGATTTATCACAAAGTTGAAAATACACAATACACAGAATGGTTTAAACTTGACTATAAGATGGTGTCAATATATTTTAAGGTGTAAAGGACGAGGGCAAAATTAGACTGAAAACTTAAAAAAAAAAAAAAAAGTAAATTGCTGAAACCTGCATCACTACTTAAAATTCAGTGATGCTAGCTAGATAAATAAAAAGTTCGATATTGTGTAGCAGATAACAGAAATAACAGAGTGTTAGCTATACATTTATATAGACAGTGTTGGGGAGTAACGGAATACATGTACCGCCGTTACGTATTTAAAATACAAAATATGAGTAACTGTATTCCCTTACAGTTACCGTTTAAAAAGGTGGTATTTAGAATACAGTTACTTTGTTGAAATAAATGGATTACACAGTGGTACTTCCCTGTTTCATATTGTGGC